GAAAATTAATAAAATATAATTATAGAAAAGAAAAAAAAGAAAATCAAGTTACAAAAAGGTAGAGAAATTCTTCCAAAACCAAATTAAAATATTTAAGAGTTTCAAGTGCTTTGAAATATGAAATGTAAGAAATATATTTTAATCTGCTCCATTTTCTGAGTAAAGAGAACAAAAAGCTAGGTTAATGAGTCACAAACTAACTCAGAAGAAATAAACTGTTAACTACTATGATAACAGTACTGCATGGATCACAACAAACTGTGGCTGACTCTCAGAAGAACGGGAATCACAGAACACTCTGCGCTTATGCAGAACCTTACTTGGACCAGGAGGTAGTCATCAGAACAGAACAAGGAAACACTGCATGGTTCAAAATTAGGAAGGGTCTATGCCAGGGATGTGTCCTATCTCCGTTATCTTTTCAGTCTGTATGGGGAACAGATTATTCTGGAGGCTGGGCTCTATGAGAAGTGTGGCATCAGGACTGGAGGTAGACTCATCAATAATCTGTGTTATGCAAATGACAAAACCCTGCATGCTGAGACTGAGAAGTACCTGAAGCACTTGTTGCAGAAGGTCAAGAACTGCAGCCTACAATAAGGACTTAACATCAAGAAAACAAAGATTCTCACCACTGGGCTGACTGGCAGCATCATGATAAGATGATGAAGAGATTTGAGATTGTAAACAGCTTCAGTTTGCTTAGCTCCACAATCAACACTCTTGATACCAGCAGCCAGGAAATCAAAAGACAAATTGCATTGAGAAAATCTGCTGTCAGAGACCTCTCCAAAGTACAGATGAGCAACAATGTCAGTCTGGAGACTAAGGTGCACCTGATACAGGTGATAAGGCTTTGCAATTACTTATTATGCATCAGAAAACTGGACAATGACTAGGGATGATAGAAGGAGAATTGATGCCCTTGAGCTGTGGTGCTGGAGAAGAGTGTTGAATATACCATGGACTGCCAAGAAAACAAACAGGTTTGTCCTGGAGAGGGTGAAACCAGGCTGCTCTTCGGAGTCAAAGGATTCTGAAGCTTTGTCTGGCATACTCTGGACATGTTACAAGAAGGGACCGGTCCTTGGAGAGGGACGTCCTGCTTAGGAGGTTGGAGGGACAACACAGGAGAGGAAGCCCCTCGATGAAGTGGATTGATTCAGTGACTGGGGTAATGGGGGTAGGTGTGTCAGAGACAGTGAGAATGGCACAGGATAGAGCAGGGGTTAGGGCTGTTATACAGAGGGTCACTATGAGTCACAAACAACTTGATGGCACATAAGAACAAAAACAACTATGCTACATTAAACAGACTCTGGAATGTTTAATATGAGGGGAAACAAACTAGTGGTGAGAATCTGTGCTGCAATCTGTAAGGCACACAGTTTGAGGCCACCAGCTATCTGCTCTGCAGGACAAAGATGGACAGTCTCCTGTGGTATATTATCTGCCTCTGAAAGTGAGCCAGAGGGTCAGGTATGGGTTGGTTCCAACTCGATGGTAAACAACAAATACACAGACATATGAATTTGTATGGGGTGGTAGCAGCAGATTTTCAATTGGCCTTAAATTTATGGTCTATGTATGAGGAGCCTGT